AGTCTTTTACAGTAGTGGTCCTATGTATGTACCACAGTTTGTTTATCCATTCTTCAGTTGATGGGCACTTAGGCTGTCTCCATCTTTTTGCTATTATAAATAGTGCTGCTATGAATATTGGTATTCATATATCTACTCGTATTATGGCTCACATTTCTTGTGGGTAAATACCAAGTAGAGGAATTTCTGGATCAAAAGGTATTTCTATTTCCAACTTTCTGAGGAAGTGTCATATTGCTTTCCAGAGTGATTGGACCATTTTGAATTCCCACCAGCAATGCAGGAATGTCCCAATCTCTCCACATCCTCTCCAGCATTTATGTCCTCTACTTTTTTGACAAGGTCGCTATGAGTCGGAACCAACTCCATGTCACATTACAACAACGACAACTTTTTTGAAGATCATGACTTTTTAGCCTTTACATCCAAGTAGCTTTTTTCCATACCTTAGAGTGCAATGCAGTCAAGGTGCCCAGTTGATAACCAAAGGTCAGAAGTTCAAGTCCAACCACATGTTCCTCAAAAGTAAGACCTGACAATCTACACTGGAAAAATTAGCCATTGATAACTTTAAGGAGCACAGTCCTACTCTGATACACATGGAATCACCATGAGTTGGAGTCAGCTCAACAGCAGCTGATGTTTTCTTCCTTGGGCCGTGCCTCATCTCATCCATCATTTATTCTCAGTCTTCAAACCATTCAAACCCACTGATGTTCCTTGGGAAACTTTCACTTACCATCCTTTGGCTTCTGTGGACCTCTTATTTCTCAGACATCTAAGATTCCTTTCCTGTCTTCTTCTTCTTTTTTGGGGAGCACATCGGTTTTGCACTCATCATATTGTATTTGTTTCATTGAAATGATTGCAACCTCCTCCATGCATCATCATTAATAATTTGCTTCTAGTCCCTCTGGTTGTTTTTGTTTGTTTGTTTTTTAATGTACACAAAAACACTCAGGAATGTATAATCATTTAAACAACCAAAGGGCACATTCTTCAAGCCTGCCTCCTGGCCACCAGCACACAGCCTTTCTCTTTCCATGATTCTAGTCTTCAGATTCCTGTCTTCTTCTGTTCTGACCCTCACCTTACCCAAGACTGCATTCTAGTCTTCTCCCTCAAACAGTTTCTCCACTCATTTTTGGCCCTTTCTTTGTAATTATTTTTTTTTTAATACTTTTTACTGTGAATTGAATGAAGGTTTACAAACAAGATAATCAGCTTTACATTCAACAAATCTCTCCTTGTTTTGTCTCAATGATTACAATCCCCTCCCTACAACAACAATTATCCTGCTTCCTCCCTGTATTTCTTATTTGCATTCCACCCACTTTCTCAACTTTGTCCTTAGGCATGTGTCGCCCTTATGATTTTGAATAACTGGTCATTCCATGGAAAGCATACCTTGCTAGGGTTGTCCACCACCCCCTATAAATCTATCAACTGCTTGGCTGAAAATTGGACAGTGAGGTGGAGTTCCTTTTCGGACCTGAAGGGTGGTCAGGGCCATAGTCACAGGTTCCTCATCTGTTTCTGACCAGTAAACCCTTTTTTTATTATTATGAAATAATTTTGAATTTTGTCCCACATTTTCTCCCATTCTTTCTAGGACCCTCTAATGTGATTCCTCTCAGGACAGTTGGTAGTAAGTGGTAGTCAGGCACCATTTAGTTCTGATCTCAGAGTCATGGAGACTGATGTTCACATGTTCTATTAGTCCAGTAGACTAATTGATTGAAGCCTCTTGTCACTCTTCATTCTTGTCACTCTTCATTCTTCCCCACATGGAGAGACCAATAGCTTCACCTTAGATGGCTGCTCATAGGCTTTCAAGATCCCAGACGCTATTCATCCAAGCAGGATGTAGAACATTGTCTCTGTGGACTATGTTATACCAATTGATCATGATGTCCCCCTGAGGCTATGGTCCTGAGCCCCCAGGACCACCAACTCATTGCCTAAAGAAGTTAGATGATATCTAGTAAGGTTGCATCATTTTGCCTGCTGTGCACCCCACCACATTCATAGTTGTGTTTGCATGAATGATCAGTACTCATGTACAAACATCCTATTTCAAACTCATCATCCACTCCTCGGAAACCCTATACAGGTTTCCCCATTCAGCTTATGTCTCAAACACACAGAACACTGTTATTCTAAGGTTGTGTATGTGTCACTATTTACTTCTATCCCTTTAGTGCATGCATATCTTCCTGTGTCTTCACCTGTCTTCATTATTCTTCTACCACCCTCCCTTTTCTTGTGTATCACTCTCCCCATCACCCGAGCTAGCATGTGTCTATCCACTAGCCAATGAATTACTCTACCCTCCCTCCTACCTTTAATAACCATCAAAGAATATTTTAGTAGAGAAAACTTTTCTTCAGCTTTTACAATAATGGTCTTGTACTATATTTGTCTTTTTGTGATTGACTAATTTCACTCAGCACGATACATTCCAGGTTCATTCATGTTATGGGTGTTTCACAGATCCATTGTTATTCTTCAAGTTTACATAATATTTCAATGTATACCAACGTTGATTTATCCATTCTTCCACTGATGGGCACTTAGGCTGTCTCCTTTTTGCTACCGTGAATAGTGCTGCAATAAACATCAATGTGCATATATCTACCCGTGTCCTTGTTCATTTTATTTGTATATATCAAGTAGAGGGATTGCTGAGTCATAAGGTATTTCTAATTTTTAACTTTCTGAAGAAGTGCCATGCTTTCCAGAGTGGTTAAACCATTTTACAGTTGTACCCGCCATGTAGGATGGTCTCAGTATCTCCACACCCTCACCAGCATTTGCTATTTTCTGGGTTTTTTTGTACTTTGCTATTGATTTCATTGTTGTTTTGATTTGCATCCCTCTAATGGCTAGTGATCATGAACATTTCTTCATGTGTGCTGGCTGCCTGAATGACTTCATTGGTGGAGTGTCCTGTGCCCATTTTTTAATTGGTTGTTTGTCTCTTTATTATAGAGATATTATAGTTTTCTATCACTTTTAGATATTATTCCCTTGTCTGATATGTCATTGAAAAAAATTTTTCCCAGTCTGTGAGTTTCCTTTTTAATCTTTTGGTGAAATCTTTTGATTCACATGCGTTTCTAATTTTTAGGAGGTCTCAGTCATCTATTTTGTCTTCAATTGTTTGTATTTCCAGTCATCTTTATAGCAATGACTTCCAAACCCCAAGTCTCTTTCCTGGACCCTACTTCTGTATAGAAGGACCCCTGATGGTATAATGAGTTAGGAGCTGGACTGCTAACAACTGCAAACCAGCAGTTTGAGTCCACCAGCCACTCCACAGGGTGGGGAGTGGGAGGAGATGAGAATTTCTGTAAAGATTTGCAGCTTCAGAAACCCTATACAGGGTCGCTACTAGTCAGAAGCAACCACAACCACCACTATTAGCATCATTCCTGTAGAAGGACATCTTCCCAAATTTACTTTACTAAAACCCTCCCCTGCTCCAAGCCTGTGGTGGCTCCTATTGTCTCCAGAATAAAATCTAAACCTCTCAGGTAGGATAGGCAATATCTCAACATTCATTGATGAAGGAGAGAACACTGGGGAACTGAGGAACAGGGGAACTCTATGAAGAGAGTGTAAGAAAAAAAAGCTTCCATTGAGTAGATCTGACTCAAAAAACCCACTGCTATCGAGTTGATACTGACTCCTAGAGACCCTAGGACAACGTACATCTGTTGCTTAAGGTTTCAGAGACTAAATCTTTACAGAACCTCATCTTTCTCCTACGGAGTAGCTGGGGGTTTTGAACTGCCAACCTTGTGGTTAGTAGCTCAATGCTCAATCCACTGCACCACCAGGGCTCTGTGATAGGACTCAGGGCAACCCTATATGTGCCAATGTAGAATGATGCTACAGAGTGATATTAATGGCTGATTTGGGGGAAGTGGGGTGCCAGGTCTTCCTTCAGAAACACCTCTGGATAGATTTAAAACTCCCAACATTTCAATTAGCAGTAGAACCTGTTAACCATCTGCACCACCCAGAGACCCCATGCAAAGAGTGCAGCAGGAGGAACACAGAAATGCCAACACAGATAATACCTTCAGAGAATGGTAGCTTGGCTAGTGGTTGGATCCTGGTACAGGAGGCTGGAGGAGTAATGACAGATGAAGGCACAACTCAGGCTACCAGCACATTTGTCCATGAACGTTGTACTAAGGTGTTAAGTAGTTCCCTGAAGGTATCAAAGCAGTGTGACCTATATGGATCGCTTCTCAGAAAATAACAAGAGGCCTTCTGCATGCTGAAACTCCACAAATACTTATTCAAAAGCATTGAATAAAAAACTGATTTGCCAACCCCTGCAGCCCTTTGGGAATCTCAGAATGAGCATGACTGCTCCACCATTGTGTTGGTGGGGACCTGGAAAGTCTGAGAAGATCACCATTGTTCTTTTTGCTTCAGGATGGTACTTTCCTAGTCCGTGACTGCTCCTCGAAATCCACTGCAGAGCCCTACGTGTTGGTGGTGTTTTATGGAAACAAAGTCTACAATGTGAAAATCCGCTTCCTGGAGAAGAATCAACAGTTTGCCCTGGGAACGGGTCTCAGAGGAACCGAGGTGGGTATAATTTCTCTGTTACCTTTCCCATGCTAAAAGCAACCATTAAGGAGAGTGTTTGGAGGAAGCTGGTCCAAGACCTCTTTCCTAGCTCCATGACTTCTGGAGGGGAAGGATGTAATCTAGGCCTCCCATCCCCTTCTTGGGCATCCTTGCATAAACAGCTTATACTTCAACACAACAGGCCTATGTGCAGTCCATACTGCTTTTGCTAGGAACGCAAACTCATTATGCAAGACTCAGCTCAATCCACCTCCCAAAATTCTTTCTTGACTCCCACACAAGTGCCATATTCCTCCACTTCTCAGGTGCTGACCTCTCAGTGTAGATATTTCTGGCTTACTTAGCATAACTTGTCTGTAGGTTTGGGCCCTAGATTAGTGCTCTGTTCTTCTTGTTGGTTGTTGCTAAATCAATTCTGACTCATGGCAACCCCATGTGTTCCAGACTAGGATTGCTGCATAGGATTTTCTTGACTACAATCCATAGTGTTTTCTTCCATGGTGGTGCTAGATGGGCAGTTGAACATACTTCATCTATGGCTATCTTAACAATTTACTACAGACAGGGTTGTTTAAAACAGAGTGTAGTAGTATGTAGTTTCCCATGGTCATGGAAGCTAGAAGGTTGCAATCAAGGTGTCAGCAGGGCCAT